GGAATTCATATTTGATAAATGTTGATCCACTACCGACACAGCGATAGAATTTGCGACAGTCGTCAGGATCAGGGAAGAACCCTTCTTTAGTACAAGAGCCTGGCGCTGAAGTTGGCTTTGTTGAATCAGTAGTTTCTAAAAAATGAATATAAAATTATAAAGTTCTTATTGATTTACATTGTATCAATAAAAGCGTCAAGAATTGAAAGTCCCCAAAATACGCAAATTTCAAGAAGAACAAGCGTGATCAAGAGTCAAGGATAAATTCTGATTAGTAACGGCTTTTCAGATTTCTAGATTTATTTAGAAAATTAGGAAATCTAGATATACTAAAGCTGTGGATGTACTATACATAATTAATGTTACACCGAAAGCATTTGCAATATCCAGATACATCACGTGCACCTGCTAATTTTTCTGAAGGATCTATGAGATCCAGAAGTCTTATATATGTAGAAGTCACATGATTACTAATAATATTTGTAGTATCAACAATATCTGATTCTTCAGAAGTACCAGGAGTTTCTGCTGTGCCAGAAGTGCCAGGTGCTCCAGAAGTATTAGGTGTTCCGGAAGTTTCTGAAATGCCAGGAGTGCCAGAAGTGTCCGGTGTATCAAGAGTTTCTGGAATGGCTGATATGCCAGAAGTGCCAGACGTGATAGAAGTGTCAGAAAAATTAGGAGTACCAGAACCATCAGAAGCAATAGCAGAACAACCAGGAATACCGGGATTTCCAGGAGTACCAAAGGCACCTGGACTGCATGGTGTAGTGGAATTGCTAGATATATCAGAAGTGCCAGGAAAGCCGGATGTGCCAGAAATATCAGGAATGCTAGGGATATCGGAACTATTAGAATATTCTGATGTTCCAGCAGTATCGTCGATTACAGGGTTATTTGATGAGATAAGACTACTAGACGCAGGAATGCCAGGAGTACCAGGTGTGCCTGAAACACAAGGAGTGCCAGGAGTACTAGGAGTACCGGAAGAACTAGAGGTACCGGCAGTACCAGGACTTTCTGATGTTCCAGAGGTTCTTGGGCTACTCGGAGTAATAAAACTGCTAGATGTACCAGGTGAGCCAGGAGAATCAGGTGTGCCAGAAACACAAGGAGTGCCAGGAGTACTGGGAGTATCAGAAGAACTAGAGGTACCGGCAGTACCAGGACTTTCTGATGTTTCAGAGGTTCTTGGGCTACTTGGAGGAATAAAACTGCTAGATGTATCAGGAGAGCCAGGAGAGTCAGGTGTGCCAGAAACACAAGGAGTGCCGGGAGTACTAGGAGTACCAGAAGAACTAGAGGTACCGGCAGTACCAGGAGTTTCTGATATTTCAGAGGTTCTTGGGCTACTTGGAGTAATAAAACTGCTAGATGTACCAGGAGAGTCAGGTGTGCCAGAAACACAAGGAGTGCCAGGAGTACTGGGAGTACCAGAAGAACTAGAAGTACCGGCAGTACCAGGATTTTCTGATACTTCAAAAGTTCTTGGGCTACTTGGAGTAATAAATCTGCTGCATGTATCAGGAGAGTTAGGAGAATCAGGTGTGCCAGAAACACAATGAGTACCAGGAATACTAGGAGTACCAGAAGAACTAAAGATACCGACACTATTTTCTGATATTCCAAAGCTATCAAAGGTTCCCGGGATAGTTGGCGTAATTGGACTGCTGGAAATGCCAGGAGTGGCAGGACAGCCAAGTGTGCTAGAAACAATAGTATTAGGTATACCAGAACTAATAGTGGTAACAGAAGTAGCATCGATTATTGAAATAGACGATGTAGTAGGATTAAGAGATATACCAGAAGTGTCAAAAGAGACAGGTGGTAAAGAAATATTAGGAGTGCTAAAAATATCAGAATAACCAGGACCGTCAGAGGCACCAGAAGTAAGAGAGGCATCGGGAATAGCAGGATGTCTTGATGTTCCAGGAGTACCAGATAGTGGGATAGTTGGTGAATTGTAGCCAATGGATGTACCAGTAATAAAAGAGATAGATGTGCTAGGAATATCAGGAATGTCAGAGGTACTAGGAGTAGCAGGATTTACTGATGTTTCAAGAGCATCAGATACATGCCAGTTGGTTAGCGTACTGGAACTGCTATATATAACAGAAGTATCAGAAGAGTCAGCTGTGCTACGAGTATCAGCAGTGGCAGAAGCATCAGAATTACCAAGAGCACCAGAAATAGAAGGAGAGCGAGAGATATCAGAAATGTCAGGTGGCTCAGATACATCAATAGTAACAGGAAGACTAGGAGCAGCAGAGGTACCAGGAGAAGCAGTGTTCTTCGATATTCCAGGAATACCAGGTGCACTGGAACGGCTTGATATATCAGGAATGCAAAGAGTAGTCGGAACATCAAGAGTGTGAGGAAGAATGTAAAAATCAGTGATGCCAGAGATAGCAGCGTTGCCAGAGGTACTAAGAGTGGGAGAATTTATTAATGTTTCAGAAGCACCAGGTGTGTGCGGCCTTGTCGATGTACTGGAACTGCGGTGTGTTCCAGTTGTGTCAAAAGAACCAGATGTGCTGCGAGTACCAGTTGCACGGTCAGGTGCATCAGAAGTACTAGGAGCGGTAGAAATAGGAGAGCTGCCAAAGCTACCAGGACTGTCAGGATTTACTGGTGTGTTAGAAGCACTAGGTGTGCCCGAACAGGTTGGGATACTGAAATTGGTTGATGTATAATTAGCGCCATGAAAGACAGCCATGCCCGGAATATCAAGAGGGGGAGGTGTATGGGTTGGAGTGTTTGGAAGGCTGGGAAAATCAGTGATGATAGAGAGGGGAGCGGTAACAGGGCTATCAGAAGTAACAGGATATCCCAATACTCCAGCTGGTATTGGGATAATTCCGTCGCTGTATGTATCGTTAGTGTCGGAAGTTATATTGGGAGTGCGGGGAGTAAGGGGAGCATCAGGAGTGTAAGGAAGAGTGTATTCATCGGGGAAATCGGAAACGTTGCGAGAGGTACCAGTAGTGGCTGTATGTTGCGATGTTCCAAAAGTATCAGACGTTTCTGGGATGGTTGGTTTCTTGGAACTACTTGATGTACCATTAGCCTCAGAGGAGCCAGTTGTGTCATTAATCTGAGGAGTGTGTGTAAGACTGGGAATACCAGTGATCTCAGAGACAACAACGTTTTCAGAAGTACCAGGAGTGGCAGGCTTTGTTGATATTTTACGAGTACTAGATCTGTGCAGCTTTGTTGATGTACGGGAACTACGGCGTGTAGTAGTAGTGTCAAAAGAGCCAGATGTGCTACGAACACGAGTAATATTAGAAGAGCCAGATGTGCTACGGGTAACAGTTGCAGGGCCAGGTGCATCAGAAGTACCAGGAGCAGCAGTGGTAGGAGTTCTGCCAAAGCTACCAGGACTGTCAGGATTTACTGGTGTGTCAGAAGCATTAGGTGTGCCCGAATAAGTTGGGATACTGAAATTGGTTGATGTATAATTAGCGCCATAAGAGACAGTCATGTCCGGAATATCAGGAGTGGGAGGCGTATGGGTTGGAGTGTTGGGAAGCTCACTCAGGATAGTCCTATTAGCAAGAATAACAGAAACATCAGGCTTATGCTCCGATAATCTAAGAGTATCAGTTGTTGGTTTATCGGGCAAGGCAGTTATATTGGGAGTGTGGGGAACATCAGAAGTGTAAGGAAGAGTGTATTCATCAGGGAAACCGGAAACGTTGCGAGAGGTACCAGAAGTGGCAGAATGTTCCGATGTTTCAAGACTACCAGATGTTTCTGGGATAATTGTTTTACTTGAACTACTTGTCTCATTAGTCTCAGAGCAACCAGTTGTGCCATTAATTTTTGGAGCGTGAATAAGGCTGAGGATATCAGTGACAGTAACGTTGCCAGAAGTACTAGGAATGGGAGTATATTCCAATGTTACAAAGATACCAGATGTTTTTGGAATAATCGGTTTACTGGAACTGCTTAATGTCTCATTAGCATCGGCAGAGCCAGTTGTGTCATTAATCTGAAGAATGTGTGTAAGACTAGGAATATCAGTGATGCCAGAGACAGTAACGTTTCCAGAGGTGGCAGGATTCACTGATGTTTCAGGAGAACTAGGTGTGTCCGAGCTTGATGACATACTGGAGCTGCTGGATGTACTTGTAGTGTCAGATGTGCGACTATCAGTGTCAGGAGCTGCATGAGTGCCAGAGGTATCAGGATTATTGGAATTTCCTGTTCCTGAAGTACCTGAGTGTATTGGGATACTTGTTATAGTGGGAATGCTAGATGTAGAAGAAATGCCACGAGAGCCAAGTTTGGCAAATGTACCTGGAATGACAGAACTACGAGAGATATCAGGAGTATCAGGAGTTGCTGGATTACTTGGTGTTCTCAGAATTCTAGATGTGCTTGGATCATCTGGAGTGCCAGAAGTGTCAGGGATTTCTGGTAAATTCGGAGTTGCAAGTGCTGCTGGGTTGCTAGGCATGCTTGGTATGCTTGATGTGTCAGATGTGTCGGAACTGCAAGGAGTAAGAGAACTGTCGGACGTGCCAAGAATTTCTGAAGTGCTAGGTCTAACAGGTGTGCCAGGTGTACCAGATGTGCCAGATGTACCAGGTTTACCAGGAATAGCAGAAATGCTAGTTGTAGCAGAAGTATCATAATTTTCTGATGTGCCAGAGATTCCTGAACTAGTTGCTGTGCCAGAAATGCCAGTTATACCAGGAGATCCAGGTGTATGTGCGCTGTCAGATGTTTCTAAAGTGTTAGACATACCTGATGTTTCTGAATTATCAGAAGTTCCCGGTATGCTTGGAGTACCGGAAGATCCAGGAGTTCCCGGTGTGCCCGGAGTACCAGGAGATCCAGGTGTTCCCGGAGTACCAGATGTTCCAGGGGTTCCCGGTATCCCAGGAGTTCCTGGAGTACCAGGAGATCCAGGTGTTCCCGGAGTACCAGATGTTCCAGGGGTTCCCGGTGTCCCAGGAGTACCAGGAGTTCCCGGTGACCCAGGAGTACCAGGAAAACCAGGTGTTCCCGAAGTACCAGAGGTTCCAGGGGTTCCCGGTGTCCCAGGACTACCAGGAGTACCAGGAATACCAGGAGATCCAGGTGTTCCCGAAGTACCAGACGTTCCAGGAGTTCCCGGTGTACCAGGAGTACCAGGAGTGCCAGGAGATCCAGGTGTTCCCGAAGTACCAGTAGTTCCAGGGATTCCCGGTGTCCCAGAAGTAGCTGGAGTACCAGGAGATCCAGGTGCTGCTGGAGTACCAGATGTTCCAGGGGTTCCCGGTGTACCAGGACTACCAGGAGTGCCAGGAGAACCAGATGTCCCCGAAGTACCAGAAGTTTCAGGTGTTCCCGATGTACCAGGAGTACCAGGAGTGCCAGGAGATCCAGGTGTTCCCGGAGTACCAGGAGATGCAGAAATACCAGGAGATCCAGGAGTGCCCGAAGTATCAGAAGTTCCAGGCGTTCCAGATGTACCAGGAGATCCAGGAGTGCCAGAAGTTCCAGGCGTTCCCGGTGTACCAGGAGATCCAGGTGTTCCCGATGTACCAGGAGTTGCAGAAATACCAGGAGATCCAGGGGTACCCGGTGTACCAGGAGATCCAGGTGTTCCCGGAGTACCAGGAGATCCAGATGTTCCAGGAGTTCCTGGAGTTCCAGATGATCCAGATGTACCAGGAGATCCAGAAGTGCCAGGGTATTCAGGCGTTGCAGATGTAGTTCCTGTACCCGGAGATCCCGCGGTATCTCCTGTAGTAGCTACACCACTTCCTGTGCCTTCTTTACAATCTTCTCGTGATACTGCCCAAGGATGATTACAGCCTTCAATATCTGAATCCCAGACAGTACCAACTCCACACTCGAATTCGTACTTTACAAATTTTCCAGAACCTTCGTCAACGCATCTGTAGAATTTCTTGCAGTCATTCGGATCAGCGAAGTATCCTTCTTGGACACATTTTCCTCGACTCTGGTCGTTTCCTGGTTTTCCACTTGTTTCAGAAGATTGGCTAGTCGTTGGTGATCTTATGGTAGTAGTTTGTAAAGATGTTGGCGGTAATTCACTCGCGATCGTGATCTTAGTCGTAGTCGTGCTTGTAACCGGCCTCATGGTTGTCAAATTCGCTCCATTCTCGTTTGTGGAGTTTCTGCTACACTCTGGTCGTCCACTATCGCCAGGGAAAGTACAAATGTTACCTTTCATCTTCGAGAATACTGTTCCGAAAGCGCACTCGAATGTGAAACGCGTCAGAGGTAGTCCGAATCCCCAATCAACACATCTGTAGAATACCTTACAGTCGTGAGGATCGGCATGATATCCTACTTCTACACATATGAAACCACTTTTCGGTTGTTTATGTGGCAGATGAGGGAAGATGAGACTCTTCTCTAAAATAATAGAAATAATTATGATAACAACTAGATAAAATAATAGAAATGATTGTGAATAATAATTACTAGACTGTAAGTTTTATGGAAAATTTAAGGGTATTTATAAAGTATGTATACGATGTGAAAATCTAGGAAATATTTGAAAATAGAATATTTGATTTAATATTTGGTAGCAGATATAAATTTCTTCTTACAAAATTAAATTAGAAAAATTTCTTTAAATTAATAAAAACGAGAGTTTTACATGCCGTGTAATGCATGTTGCGTTTTTTCCATTGAAATAGGAACCGTGTGTTTCAATGTAAATGACTATACAAACGTGCTCGTTTCTGCAGTAAATTGTATTAAAACACATAATCTCTGTTTTGACGAAGAAACACGAAACACATAGTCCTAGTCAAAATAAAAATTCCTGTTCGTTACTAAATATCATAACAAGTACTCTGCTTTCAATATTTTACATATTTTTGCAACACTATATAAACTTAAGCTCCAGTTCCACAATCATGTCATTAAAAATATTAAATTGCACAAACTTTCACAGCTTAACTTATATAACTTATCTCTCTGTATTATGTTTAAACATTTCCAATAATTCTCTCTTGCCAGAAATGTTAATACTGAAAGATTGTTGTACTCGAGTCTAGCTCGCAGTACGTAGTTGGCGTGAAGGACTTTACATTAGCAACGTTTCCTTCAATACGTTCAACACGTCTCTCGCGAAACGAGTACGCTGCTGACGAAGATGAAGAAATAAAAAAATGATGGCGTTGCACCATGGAATTGGTAAGCGTATCACGTGCCTGCGAGTCGCACTGTAAATGGGCTTGTCAAGAAAATAGATAGTTCACGTGTTCCCTAAAGGGACCTTCGAACCATTCATGTCGACTCGACTATGATTCATGAATGTTACAAACTGATTTTATTTCAAACTCGGTAGCAATGAACGAAATCTTACCATCCTGTGAAAACGTCGATGAAATCAGCATTATCAAGACGCTTAACGCGCCCACGCCTGTCCGCATGTCTTCGATTCAGTGTGCCTGAAAATTGAACAATTGATCTGAATAAAGTTGACAGAAGCCAGTCTTAGTTCGTCTCAGAACATTATCTATCAACAATAACATTTTTAAATTGCATTTTGTGATACAAGTTACGGAGAATTACAATTATTACTAACACTCCTTGTGTGTACGGAAACATCAACTTTATTTCAACGAAACTTATATCTGTTATTATTTTTATTTAGGTTATATATTAATACCGGATCAACAGCATCATTATTCCTTCGTACTTATTGTTATATTTATATTTAGATATTTCACTATATCATAATTATTTTATGTCAATCTTTGTAATGAAAAATAAAATTGTTATTCATAGAAGAGTTTAATTTTTTTTTATTGATTTGAAGAAATTTTATCTTCTTACACACAATATATACTATAATAATGTATTTCATTATATAAAATGAAATTAATAAATTTTACCGTTTTTAAATAAACATAGCGTTTGTTTTAATTGTAAGACTTTTAAGCGGTGTATGTCTACTTTCAACGATTGAAGCAAAAGATTATGATGATCGTACATCATACTATATACACGCTTTGGAGATAAAGGATTCTTAACTTTACTAAAAATAATATTTTTCAAATAATACGATTTAAAATAATTTTTATATTTCATAATATTAAACTGTAAAAACATTATTACACATATGATAATTGAAATAATAATAAATTGTTTAAAATATTTCAATCATCTTCATTTTCTATCCACATATTATACTAATGTTAACGATAATAAAAATGAATTTATATTAAACTAATTATTATTAATTTAGTTATTCTCAAATAGAAAAATCACACATATGGAAATCTCATCCATATTGATGAACTTGTAACTGCATGTAAAATTAACCAATAAAAGTAATAAATTGTACTATTTGCATCTATCATATTATCAATATTTGTACAATGAAAATTAATTACAGCGTAGCATCAGTGCAAAAACGAAATACATCCGCAAAGGGTTGATCGAAGTTCGAGCGAATGGAATTTACGACGAATCGAATGCTGCTGAAATTTCCATAGTTTTAACGGGAACATGACGTAACCCGTTTCGTTTTCTGGGACGAAAGGCGTGGATTTCCTCGGTTGAAAATTTCGCGTAAGCGGGTAGAGATAAGCGATCCCGGGCACAGTTACTCTTGGCTTACGTCCAATCTTCCTCCTCCCTCCCCCCCACGCCGTCCTTCCCAGCCGAAGGATTCTAACTGTCCCCTGACCTTGGCTGGAATAATTCAACCATCATCGATCGTTCAAGATCAAGGAATTCTCATCTCGCCCCATCCGTGACCTCGATTTTTTTCTTTTTTTTCGATCGATCGCTCGCTCGACTCGTCGATCCACGTGCTAGAGTAACGATTTGAATATGTACTCTACTCATTGTTGATTCGCTCGTACAGTTACGTTAGCATCGATTTCCAACACGCCTTTGATGATTTGACGTGATAATCTTCTTGTTTTTTCTTTTTTTGACCGACAGCGTAAATCAGCAGTCAACGTGAGCGGAATAAGGAAGACGACGAAGGCGAATGTGTCGGTTCGCCGTCTTGGCTGTGCCATGCTCGTTATCTCCATTACAAATTCTTTAATTCCACGTCGCGAGCAATCCTTTCTATGCAGCCGGTGCAACGATTACTGGTTAACTAACAGTCTTTCGAATCATTTAACGCGTAACAATACTTGAAAGCCTCGTGCAAGTGAATTGCATGGACGCGTGTTGTGACTAACTGTCAGCTCTGATAAATAAGACGTCTAACATGATCGTCCATTGTATGCATCATTATCACTTCTTTTTCTATTCTTCTTCCCATATTCATGTTCTTACGTTGTTAATCATGTCTGTGTTAATTGATTTATACGTTACTATCACTTCACTTTACTATCTTGTCCTTTATATCTCAGCATTGTTAATTATATTTGTATTAATTAATTAATTTATGTACATATCTAGTCTATATCTTAATTTCTTATTTTTCTCTAATAACTCTTTCCATGTAATTCACATTTTTATAAAATAAAAATACAAACAGATACTTCTATTTGATTAATCGTTTCCTTCGATCTGGAATCATTTAATAAATAAGACCGCAAAACGTGAAAACTTTTGAAAATAACTTAAAAAATGATGCTTAAGTACAAAATTATTTTACATATATACAAGGGATACATTACAAGGGATATTTTGAATATTTTATATATTTCTGTATGTTTGTATTGTGTATATTTCTGTACTTTGAAATTTTCTGTAAATGCACAAACATTTATTTGTTTTTACCAATACGATAGTCATATTATAAAACTAATAACATTTCAAAATATTTATATTTACACTCTGATGGCACGGAATTCACCTAATAGTTCCTAAAAATTTTCCATTACGCTAAGATTATAATAAAGATCGTGATGAAGAGTTAATTAATTTGGAGTATCTTTAACACCACTTTCGTAATATATTTCGAATCTCGATCTTATCGAACGATTCATGAATCCAATAATTGAACTTTCGTAATAGTTGCAGTTAAATTTGATTTTGGTATATCTAAACGTTCAAATTTGTTCAGAATAATGTTATTAACAATTCTCCGAGTCTAAACACTGCCATGCTATTCCATATTATCTCTGTCACGTTTGACCTTACTTACAAGATTTGTTACCTCTTTTGTTCTGTATTTTTTTTTTTTTCTTAATATGTCTTCACTCATATATAAAATACCATAAGTATCATATACTACGTACTAACTCAGTCTTACTAATGTATATCATTATATAAACTTCATTTTTATTAGGTATATAATATTTAATTACTTTTGACTTTCACTAATATGTAAAGATTATTAATCAAGCACTTTCGCGAGCTTCTGTAATAAGGAAAAGACAAAGATCTCGCGATTGCGTTGAAAATGATCGATGTGATGTTTCTGTTAATCCTAAATTTACTAAATTTACTCGACGGATCGATGGCAGCGGCCGTTAAGAATAAAATAATCAGTGATGAAATCAACCAGGAACCCAGGTACTCTGTCTGCAATTTTTAAACGTATCGATAGTCAGACAATCGACTGGCGGTGCAACTCCGTCTGTGAAACATCAGCATCCTCGCGTGTGGGTGCAGATTGCAAATCAAAGGTGTGGGTTGCAAGATTCCCCGACTCTTCTTCCCCGTTTCATCGCGATAAACTGTAAGAAACTGTGAACTAACACCGAGACTCGGCCGTTTCAAACGTACGATGAGATAAATTTACGGAATGATACTTTCTGACAGTGCCTGAGAATTCTCTCGCCCAAGAATCTTGTATATCTGATTGTGAGTATTTCACATATCAAAGATGAATTTCATTGAAACTTGGTTTCACATGTCGTTATTACGACAATTAAACTGCATATTTTTACGAATATATATAAATATATATTATTATAATAATATATATATAATTCTAAATATATATTATTATATATAAATATGTAATAAATATAAATATATAATATTATAGTATATAAGCAATATATAATAATTTCCTATCTGAGTGGTATTTTTTCTATTTTTACGTATTTACGAAAAATTTAGAGACGTATTTATATTTATTATATAATATTTATTATTATTATAAAGGTAGTGTATAATAATAATAATAATAATAATAATAATAATAATAATAATAATAATAAT